CGCCGGCCTGGGCCCGCGCGGCGGCCGGAGTGTAACGGAGGGAGGCCGCCGGGCGAGGAAGGCCCGGGTAACAGGTGCCTCACCTCGGCTGATGGAATTAACTATAGGGCCGCAGAGAGAGGGAGCCCGGCAGCAAAATCCCAGGAGAGGGAGCGAGAGGGAGCCTCTGGCGGCCGAGGGAGGGCGGCAAGCACGGAGCGACCCGAGCCAAGGCCGCCCCACCCCCTAGGCCAAGGGCGAGGGGGCTTTGGGGCCTGGGGCAAGGCCTGCCCTTCGGGGCCTGGCAGCTGGACTAGGCTGGCACCGTTTGAGACCTTCCAGTTTCAGGGACCTCAGTTTGGCTGCAGTCGGCCACAACTCCGTGACCCGAGGGCATCCAAAACCCCATCCAACTCTCCTGAGCTGGAAGGCCGAAGTTTAGCCTAGCAGGCCTTCAAGTAGGCCTGTGTGCTCAACCTAGTGCTAACTGACCGTAACCTTAAGACACTCCAGTGAGCTGAGACGGTCTTCTGACTTCAGTCTCATAAGATGTGCTCTTCAGCTCGCCAGGCCCCCTTTTATAAATGCTACACACACAACACCAGAATGGTTACAACCACACTGCAGAAGATACACACTGATTGCGAGCCCAAGAAAAACAGACCACTGCGGTCTAGGGAGTTTTCAGTGGTAGGTCTGGGGAAGTAGATTACCAGGCCATTTTCCCTACTCTATCGTAGCCTGGACTCTCCACTAAAACCAGTCGGCATCACCGCAACCCATAAGCCTCCATTGACCTACCGGTGGTAGCCGTGCCTGGGGAAGACTGACGGAAACAACCCCTGGTCTTCCCCGTGGCAAGTGAGAACCCTATAACTGCCCACTTCACCCCCCAACCCCCACCCCAGTGCTTCCTATTCAAAAATTAAATTTGACTCATTAATCAGGGGAAGAACCACTAAGATTTTGCACCCCATTCAAACGAGACTGAAAAGAACAGACAAAAGCTAAACGACTGGTTAAAACTCTATAGGATTGGGTTATTGTTAAACTGAAAAACCAAACACTGCCATCAATTCCGGTACAACCCGTAGCACCCAAAAGGACAGGGAAAAGCTACTTGTGGGTTTTGGAGACTGTCGCTGGAATAGGAGTAGAAAGTCTTGAGCAGCTAGTGGATTCATACATAACCACTACACCACCAGTGTTGTTAGTAACCGTAAATTGGTGCTGACTCATGGCAACTTTATGTCTAACAGAACAAAAAGTTGTGGAGCCCTGTACCTTAGTGAGTGATGGTATATGTGACTCCATTGTTGAAGTCATTCTGTAGTGCCTTCCAATCTCCGCGAAGGGCATCTTTCAGTGCTGTCTCTATGTTGGACAATATTCTGCTGTAATCCATAACATTCCCATTAACTAATTTTTGCAAGTAGATTATCAGGCCTTTCTTTCTAGTCTGTCTTAGTCTGGAAACCTGCCCTCTATGGATGATCCTGATGATATTTCAAATACTAGTAGTGAGGTTTTCATCTTCAAAGCGACATATGAGCTATCACAGTGTGACATACTGACAGGGCACTAAAAGGTCATGTCTGGAATTCTTCTACCCCGAGAAAATGGCTTATATCCATCAAAGAGGAAATCATGTTTTGTTTCTATAGCTAAGGATCATGTGTATTACCATAAGTTACCGCAGGTGACCTAGCTTTGTAAGCAGGACACTCTGAGATACAGCCTCCTCGGTGGTGGTTGTTCGGTGTCTTGGAGTTCCTTCTGACGCACAGCATGCCTGTGGACAACCGACGGCCGCAGTACCTGCTCCTGTGCCACCCTCATAGTCATTGCTTTCCGTGAGTCAGTCCATTGTCGGTCTTCCTCTTTTTTGATGGCCCTCTGTTAAATTAAACATGATGCCTTTCTCCAGGGACTGGCCCCTCCTGGTTATATATCCCAAATAAGTGAATTGAAGTCTCTCCATCTTCACTTTTAAAGAACATTCTTGTACTTCTTCCAAGAAAGATGTGTTTGTTCTCCTGGCAGTCCAGAGCATGAGATTCTTCAGCAAAACCATGATTCAAAGGCATCAATTTTTTGGCATTTCTTCTTCATTATCTTGCTGTCATCCACATATGAATTGAATGAAAATACCTTGGTTTGGGTCAAGCGCACCTTAGTCCTCAATGACATCTCTGCTTATTAACACTTTGAAGAGCTATTTTACAGCAGACTTACCTAGCGCGTTACGTCTTTTGATTTCTTCACTTCTCCTTCCATGAGCTTTGATTGTTGAGGTAGTTAGTTTATTGTCCCAGCCTGGCCGATAAACACAGTGGGATTAATTGAAGCGGGGAGAGATAAATGGCTCAGCGAGACTCGCCTTTCTTGTCTCTCGCTCTTTGATCATCGGACCAGTGTGTGGCTGCCTTGCTTGTTCTGTGTCTCAACTTGCAAGCTACACTACCTGTGGGACACCTAACCTATGGACTGTGTCGCTGTAATTTGAGGTTTCTTCAAGACCTGCTTTGCCACACAATTGGAATTTATATCTGTTAAACTGGGGACTGACTGTTGGTGACCTGGCTGACTGTTGGTTATCTGACTGACTTGGTGACCTGCCTTGCTGTTTGCTGCCTGTGCCGGGGCAGCCTGATTCTCTCTACAGAGGACTACCTGGCAGCTCTCGAGACTTGAAGGTCTGCCAGTGTCTCACAACTGTCTAACACATTTGAATTGTACTGAGCCATTTGTACTGCCTTATAATTTAACTGTTTATTTCTTGTGTTATATATCTATGTCTATCTATCTGTATATAGATATAAAATTATTAGCAATTTTAGATAGATATAAAATTATTAGCAATCTGATTTTGCCTCTCTAGAGACATTTTGGTACCAGGAGTGCTTCTAAATAAAATCATAAATATGGGCTTCTTAAATTGGCTCTCCAGCCTGATTAGTCTTAACACTAGTGATGCTACTTCAACATCCCAAAGCATGGATATGTCTGCTACTCCTACTAATCCATGGTGTGAAATAGCAAAGATACCTACAGTAGCACCACCGACAGGTGAGGTGCTGGTTAAAGGAGAGGCTCTGAGTGATCACTTGTTTGCTATTTTCCAGGAGTTTTGTAAGGATGACAAGTATAGGGAAGCTGGCTGGCTGGTCCATCTTACAATGGAAAGTGTGATTAAGGAGAGGGATGGTCTCAGAGCCTCAGAAGCGTGCCTCAGGTGCAGACTAACAGATTTGAAAACTTTCATCTGTGCTACAAAGGAGAGCCTTCTCTCCTCTAGTAAAAGAGCTGACATTGCTGAGAACAAGGTCCAGAGTCTCATTATGTGAGTGGCTGAATTACAATGGCAGCTGAATTGCAGATCTAGAGCAGTGTCTGAAACCAAAGTGAGGGCATTGATTGGGAAAAGTTGGGACCCTGAGACATGGGACCGGGACCATATGGGCTGATGATCCAGAAGAGGAGGATATTGACTCCATAGAAACAATTGACCCACCCCACTCAATAGATCCACCCCTCTCAGCTGAAAGTATTAATTCACAATCCATACCTGAGCAGATTAGCCAAACTATGCAAGTTGACATGCCAGGTGGGGCTGCATCGGTAGCATTTCCTGAGGGAGATGCCTTACACGATATTGCTGAGAGCACCCAGGAAGCACCCTCACCACCCATTATTTCCGCTAGACCTGTCACTAAAATTAAGTCTCAGAAAGCTCCTAAAGGTGAGGTTGAGATGATTACCTAAGAAGAAGAGCACTATACTCATAAAGCTCTGCTCGAGTTTTCAAATACATACAAGCAGAAACCTGGGGAATATCCCTGGGAATGGTTACTAAAGGGTGGGATACTGGTGCACGAAATGTAATATTAGACCGGTCTCAGTTCCTGGATATGGGACCCCTAAGCACAGACTCATCTTTCAATGTCTCTGCGAGAGAGGCTGAGAGGATCTAATTCTTTCTTTGGTTGGTTCAATGAAGCATGGACTGCCCGATGGCCTAGATTAGACCAACTTGAAGTACCTGACCTACCTTGGTACACTGTAGAGGAAGGCATCCAAAAGCTTAGGGAAATTGGTATGTTGGAATGGATCTATCAGGATATTCCCATAGACCCAAAAAGGGGGTGTCCTGAGGACATACCCTTTACCACTACCATAAGGAACAAGTTTGTGAAGTGGGCCCCAGCATCTCTTAAGACTCCTGTAATTGCTATTTTATGTGCACCAGGATTAACAGTGGGCATTGCCCTAAGCGAACTCTGACATTTGCCCACAATGGGGCTGATTGGGCCCCGTGGTGGTAGAGGGCAGGTGTCAGCACTGAATCAACAGAGACAGGGTGGGCGTGGTTATAATAGACAACAAGGTTTCCATAGTAATCAAAGCAACCTATCTCATGTGGAATTATGGCATTAGCTACTTAGCCACGGTGTCCCTAGGAATGAAATAGATAGGAAACCAATAAAATATTTACATCATCTATACAGACGGAAGACTGGTAGATCAGGTGAACAGCAGAATAGACAGTTTTGATCACTCAATCAATTCCCAGACCTGAACCAGTTTACAGACCCACAACCCCTTGAATGAGGGCAGGCTGGGTCCCTTTGAAGGAGGACCCTGCTACATCACCGAAGGTCTGTACTGTTAGTCTTTCTTCTAGCCTTCCCCAAAGGGACCTGCGGCCTTTCACAAGAGTGACTATTCATTGGGGGAAAGGAAATAAGCTTTTGGGGGATTACTGGGCACTGGCTCAGAACTGACACTAGTTTCAGGAGACCCAAAATGTTTCAAAGGCCCACCAGTCAGAGTGGGGCTAATGGAGGTCAAATTATCAATGGAGTTTTAGCTCAGGAGCCAAGTAAAGTGATATCTTTGACAACTTCAGTTTCTTCTCCATTTATTAAAATGTTGCTTATGGGTTCAGTTGTAAGAATTTCTATTTTCTCTCTGTTGTGGTGCAATCTTTGATCTTCAGTAAATGCCTCAACTCCTCTTCACTTTCAGCAGACAACGTTGTGTCATCTGTGTATCACAAGATGTTGATGAGTCTCCCTGCAATCCTGATGTTTGTGAGGATAGTACATTTTCTCTCGGGTTATTTGCTCCCCAGAGATAGGAGATTTGAGCGCCCAAGGCAGAGA